CTTAAGCATTACTGTTGTTTCTTTTATGTATCATACGATACGTCTAGGTAATTTCAAAACACTAGAAAAACTAGCAGCTACTAGCAGCACTAGTGTACTCACTAGTAATACTAGTAAGCGATTAGCGAATACGTAAATAAAACTAGCTTACTAGAATTGCTACGAATGTCCCCTAGATTCCTTTTATCAGAATATTTTTGCTTTATTCATTCAAAGCGTTTTATGGTCATGTTCTCAAGTCCAAAAATTTAATTACTTTGAGAACGTTAATTTTTACAAACAAATTTTAAATTAAACAAAGATAGCTTATTATTGCTGTTATCAATATTTTTTGTTCATTCATTCAAAGCCTTTTGTGAACAGGAAAATTGTACTTTTTTAGCAAAGAATCCCTAGCAAATCGAAAGAATTTCTCCTTTATGAAAAACTTGTTGAGAAATTATTTTCTTGGTAATTTTACTCCAAATAGTCAACTAACTATCTGTGTACCATATAGGGACTGGTGGCTGCAAGCCCAGATAACTTTCATTTAAATTCTCTAAGCGACAGTTGAGTATGCCTCCGATTTGCTAGGGTTTCTTTTGATGGGCGTATGGAGTCTCAGATTAACGGCAGTGCCCACGTATGCTGTGCACTAAAAATTTACACAACAGTCCATAGATTGCGGACAGATAACCGGGTTACATGTTCCCTGTCCTGTTATGATCAAAACAAAATATTATTGAAATCCACATTATTGTTTTGTTCGCATGGTTTATAGTCACTTCAATATCCGATAAAAAAAATACGTATCAATGGAATGTTGTTGTTTATCATAAAGTTGTTTGTTAACAAGTATCTTGGGAGCTGAAAATCGTATAAATTGAATTGCATTTGTACAAATGAAATCAAAAGTGATTACATTCGAAGGGGTTCACGTTACTATTGCGCTCATAAACTTTTATTTCATTTGAGAAAAAAACGTATAGAAATAAAATGAAGTTCATTTTGGTCGTTTGTGGTGTAATTCTGGTGGCCATGGTAAATATCAATCTTAAAATGTGTCATAAATATTTCAACCGAAAAGTAGTATCGAAATGTTCATTTGAATTGTTCATCCATTTAGTTGGCAAAAGCTTTTCCAAGCGAAGCTGAATATGACGAAGATCTATTCGAAATGGTAACTTTTGACAGAAATGGTTTTGCCATTAACGAAGAACAGATTCAATGCATTAAAGTAAGAAGTTTTTTTATCTTGTGACATTCACGTAAATATTATTGTTTCAATTAATTTTTATTTTCAAAATTGTGTGTGTGTGTGTGTGCGTTTTAAATCGATAAACACTGGACCCGATTATTATTGGACAAAATTATAGGACGGCGTTCAAAAGGTTATCGATGATAATCCCGAATTGAAATGGTGGTTTGATAAAGTGAAAGAATCAGCAACAAAATTGGTAAAGGCTGCCAAAAAATGTGAAACGCTCAGTGGTATCGAACAAAAGTTAGTTTTACAGTCGAATTCCGAGCAATTCGTTTGAACTTTCACTTTGTAATGTAATTTGTGGTGATACATGGTCGACTTTTTATTTCTTTCGTTTTAATACAGGAAATGCATTTTGAAAGTTAAAGTTGCTGCAAAATTGGAGCTCCGTCGTTTGATCAAATTATTGCCAGACGTAAGTATAATTCGCCCCTTTTGTATGAATTTGGAAAGTTTGAACAAGCAAAATGGAAATATATATATATATATATATATCATGTTTAAATTGCTTGCAGGACCAAAAAGAAGTGTTGGGAATACTCAAGGACGTCATCAAGAACTGCTTAGAATAAGTTCGTATTGGCCATTGGTACATTGTCACAGGCATGGTTTTAATCCAAAAATAAGCATTTTATATACTCAAAACTATGGAAACAAAATCAAAGTTTATGTCTCTTTTTTTGTACTGTACTCAACGAAACGACCGCATTTTAATAAAAAAACATACCAAAAAAACGCACACACACAAACTTAGCTCACCATGTTTTCATCTTTAAATAATGTTAGGATGAATTTTAAAACACATGAAACTTTCAAAAGTTCAACTGAAGAAATGTTTGCCTTGATTTATATGCATGACTGAATCGTATTTTGTTTTCTTCAAACTTCAAAATCCATATGTACATTTCAAAATCATGTTTTTCTCTGTGATAACCACTTGATTACCGATTTCACGATAAGATTATAGTAAAAAAAAGAAATAGGTTGCGTAGCATTTAATAAAAAAAAATCGTCCAAATCGTTTTTTCAAGTTTTTTCTCGTATTAGTTACACATTTCGCAAGATGCTCAAATGTCAATTTCTCATACATACATTTTTCACAATCTTTTTTTTGTATTCTTGTCAGAACAATTTATTGAGAAACACCTAAAACCGAACAAAAAAGCAATCGAGAATCGTCTATTTTTTGTTTGGTTTTTGAAGTGATTAAATGAATTCGTAATTGATGGTGATGTTGAATATTTTGACACCATTTAACAGTCGGTAGTTACGTGCCTTTCGAGCGGAAAATGATGCTGCCACCAACCGGTTGCTGTCGTTTCTCTTCGTTTTTTTTTCTTCTTCTTCAATCTCTCGTTTGCTCGTAAAACGCAAAATGGCACAAGAAAGTCCTCTTTCTTGTTTTCCACAACTGATGTTATTATTAAGGTCGTAAATTAAACTCTCCAAGAACATGCACAAACAAGCATACCAAAAGTGAATAACATTCTTCAGATGGTTGTCGAAAAATGCTTTCAACTATTATAACGAGCAAAAGTACTACACCTGCAAGAATTCTGAAATAAATGAATGAAAAGGATGAGGAAAAAAAAAATATACAACGAATGAAAAGAGAAGAAGTGGAAGACTGTAGACATTGTAACAATGACATTCCAACATCACACCCCCGTCCATACTTCGGCAATTCGATGGAAAATGGACTGCGATAGAGGCACATACACGCACCGAATACTTTCTCCTCCCAAAAAAAATGGTCATCAATTTTGATTAAAGAATGAAGTGCCTGTTTACGGCAATCTATTCCAATATTTAAAAGAACTACAGTCGTGCATAAAAGTAGGTTGGTTCGTTTAAAGTTAATCTAATAAAATTGAGTCGTAAACAATGAATCTTTTTAATAATAATTTCTTTTCAACTTTAACATTTCCAATTGATCGCATCAAATCTTGATTTCGATGAACTGATTACAGAAATTGGTATTTATGTGGATAATTTTGGTATCCCATCTTATCTTCATCTATATTCGCTAATCAAAAGGATTCATACAGATTTTTATGTGTTACGATAGAGACGAGATATCATGTTTGCTATTTTTCATGTTGTAATGCCATTAAAAAAAACTGTATGGTAATAGAAGTAGGACAATGTTTTGTGACGGGTCTTCCATTTCAGTTTCAGTTGGAAACTGGATCATCGATAATAGTAAACGCGTAGTGTCAGCCAAATCATCATGACATATCTCCCAGGGGATAACTATGAATTGCAGATCGAATAATTTATAATAATAAACGCTATTTCTCTCTATTTTTCACTTATTCTGCTAGTATTTCTACTAGTTGGTTCTAATACTGCTATTTTTTGCTAATTTATCTAGTACGTCAAAAATATTGCATACGTCAGATTGACTGCATGATCGAATAACCGAAATGTGTTTACGTAAATGTTTCAAGTTGACACTTTCAACGTGTATATTTGAAGCAGGCACTAGCGTATACGTTTTCAGTAAGAAATCTGTCATCAAATCTACATTTACGATTGCAATTCGTAAATTGTAGTTAATACAGATGGAACGTGCTTGGTTACGTGCCATTGAATATATTTTTATTTAAAAATGGGAAAAAGCGTATTTAACTACATATTTTGATACATTTTAGTTCAACACTATTCAATTCGTTTGTTTTGTGAATTTTATTTTAATTAAATTATTTCAATAAATTCAAGAATAAATGCTTACTAAAGTATACATGTACAGTGCTAATTCTGCTATTTATTGCTAATTTCGCTATTTTCTTCATGTAAATTTCCCTATTTTTTGCTAATGTGCTAATTCTAATTCGCATGGATATCCCCTAGCACATCTCACACAATAGTGATGAACGAGTTAACAGAGCAAGCGCAAAGGATGCCAGTACAAGATTTTCGTACATAAACAAATTAAAAACAAAGGGAAGACGAAAAATAAAACCAAACATTTTCTTTCATATCACATTGGCGTAGACCCAAATATACCATTTACTACGTACACACATAGTACAAATCGACAAATCAACATACAATTACCAATGCGTTTTTCCCTTTTCATTCGGCGAAGAATAAGAAGAGGACACACACACACACACACACACAGAGAGAGAGAGAGAGAGAGAGAGAAAACAAAAGAAAATGAACGGACAAAAATTGGATGAATGCGCGCAATTGGCGGTAGCTTACAAGAACAATGTATTTCTCAAATTTATGTGCTTATGCACCGGAATTCTCCGTTAATATTTCTGTGTGTATGTACAATGTACATCATCCTCTCCGTGTGTCGGCATTCTAGTAATGACTAACGAAAAATCGGTCACTAGTAAGATTACATATTACAAAAAAACTAACGTAGCACAATGCCGATGGTTTCAATAGTAACAGTGAGATGTGAGGCTTGAATGCGGTGTGTGTGCGCAAACTATATTGTATTGTGTACAATCATATCGTTTTGGTAATTGTGTATATCTATAGATGTATATATCAGGCATGAAACAGGCGAAACCATCTGAATAACTGAAAAGAATTATACATGAAAACGAATGATAATAAAAGGATAACGCACAACGAATGAGCTGTAGAGGAACATCAAGGCACTGGCTTCCAAGTAATATGGCAAATGCGAGTGGGGAACAATGAATGCAACACACTTACACTATATTCAATATACATATTATATAGAGAGAGAGCATGTATAGTAGTGTAATATGGAATTGTGGATAAAATTTTCTATGCCTAATAATCCTTTTGCAATTCACTTGGTGTTGTTATTATGGCACATTGTATGCCGATGCCGTATCAAATGGGAAATAAATGCGAAAATATGTGATTTTATTAGTGACCGTTTTTATTTTTTTCCGGTACTATTACGAGTCATCTGAATTGTTCGTCATTTCATGGCTATTCACGCATATAAACATGATCACTCATTCATATTTAGTCGAAGCAGATGTCTTTTACCCGAGATATTGAGAAAAGTTTCACAACTTTGAAAGGAAAACGGTACGCTCAATTGATTTAAGTGAGCTTTGGCTTTTGATGTTCGTATGAGTGTGCGTGTGTGTGTTTTTTTTTTGCCTTTTGCCCGGATGTGGAATCTTCCAAAGATACCAATGGTGAGATAACCGATTAGCATGCACGATTCGCCGACTGGGAAAGTGCCTACGTACTAAACCAAACCCTTGCACACTCTTCTACCACTCTCCCCGCGGAACTGCCATTAGGTATTACATCGCGGGGCTGGTTAGCATTTTATGCTTGTCTCTCCGTTGTTTCTCTTCTTTGTTTTTCCGCTATGCGGAGCTCCTCTTGTACATTTGTGACAAAATTGAGGGTGTTTTGCCAACCCTCGTCCGTTTCGAGCATATAACTTACTAGGAGACTCACCCTTGGGGGATGTGTACTCTTGACTCTGCGAAACGAATGCAGTGAAAAATTGCATGTTCGGCGTCTTCTTCTTGTTCTGGGCAAGTTGGACATGCCGCAGAATTTTCGTGTTTAAACTTGTGGAGGTATTTTCGATAGCTCCCCCGATGACCAGAAAGGAACTGAGTGAGCTGGTAACTACAGTCTCCGCACTTTCGATTCACCCATGTCTCAATGGCCGGTATTAGTTTATGAGTCCTTCGACCTTTTGTTGTGGTCTCCCATAGAGTCTGCCATTTGGCCATCGATGTTTCTCTTTCGTCTTTTTTGATGCGTTTATATTCGCATTTGTCTGGGGTTCTTCTGTTGTAGATTCTCAACATTTCGTCAGCCAGTATACTTTTTTTGACCTGAAACCCCGAAATTCGGACTCAGCGTGTCAAAATACCTTAGAAATGATATTTTTTTCATCCACTATTGTGTCTAACCCCAGTGCCCTCCATTTGGGGTCAAATCCTACAAAGTCGATTTTTCACTTTTTCGGTCCGGAATTGTGTACCAAAATGTATGACCAACTATTGCTAATTTTTGGCGCAAATTTCATTTTTGCCATTGGGCACCCCCTCCCATCACCCCCATGAGGAGTCTCCATACAAAATTCACGAAAATTTCAAAAAGTATCCCCAAAATAGTGATAAGGAGGGTCAAAACCGATGGTGCACATCGATAGAGGACCAAAAAGTATCCTAGGTAGGAGCGAAGTTTCATGTAGTGTTTTACATCTTGACACTGAAATGGAAGTCTGTATATATTTTGGGGGTAAAAAAATAAACTTAGCCCCCCCCCCCTTGCCCATGTATGATTTCACTCCATCTTCGCTATCGTACTGCAGTTTCCTGTCCGAGAAATTGTTTGCGATCAGTTTTCTCAGGTAATACGGAGTGTCCATTCTGGCAAGCGACTCTTTTATTTGTGACCAGTTTGCCGTATTAAAGGCGTTTTTTATGCCCAATGTCACTACTGCACAGTATTCTTTTGTTCCCCATCTCCACCTATCGCCCTCTATGGCGGCAGCGGCTGTATCTACGACTACTTTTATGGCGTGTACAGTAGAGCGCCTTTTTCTAAAACCGAACTGTGCTTCGGAGAGAGCCCTCTTCTCCTCTGCAGTTGCAAGTAGCCGGTTGTATATGATCCGTTCCGAGATCTTTCCGGCGGTGTCCAGTAAACATATTGGGCGATATAATGGGGGGGGGGCACCAGGCGGCTGGTGTGTGTGTGTGCATTGCATCTTTCACAACATCACTGTGCGAATACAATTGCCATTTATTGACTGACAATAAAAATTCAACGGGAATTGAAATGGTCCAAAAGAAAACAGCAACAAATGCCTTGTTATTCAAATATGGTGACATCAAACCGACATAATATAACCGAATGTGAAATCGCTACATGCATACATTATAGTAACCAATGTATTTAACATGTGTGTATGTTCAGTATAATATAACGCTTGTATCACGCTCATCTTCTGCTCATTCGGTGATATACTGTGTGATGGGCCCCGGTTTAATGTTAACCAAATACAAACATACGCACACATTTAATACATGCGTATGCACAATTGTGTCATTGTTTTTGCAATTTCTTGAGTCCTTCGACTCTCGTGATCGCATGTTAATCCATTTGAATGATTCGCAACATTTTCGAATTCAGATTGCTTTGTATCATTTTTGAAAATTTAATCTGATATATTATGTTTATGGTTTTAACTTTGGATTAAGATATATATGCACAAGGTCCAGGATGACTGAGGATAAAGGCAGAAGAAGACGCACGTCATAGCAACACACACGCACACACATATTCCCTTCCCGGTTTCTTCATGCCCATATTCCAAATCTCTTTTTGCTCATATTTTAAGTTTACATGAGTGAACACAAGTAATGTTCGATCGCCAGCTTATATATCGTGTACAATGTACAGGTAAGTTGATTGCATGTTATTATATTTAATACTTTTTAGTTTTTATTATTGTTGTTGTTTGGTTTTTGTTTGTGGTTGGATGTACTTGGTGGGTTGATGGACTGGCATGGCTATTTGATGCTTGTTGCTCTTTTGCTTCGTTTTTTGTGTCCCTTTTTTTGTTTATTTATCCAAAAAAGCAATGCTAATAATAGTCCAACACATAAAATAAACATTTGTTTTAATAATTATACAAGAATTTCGAGTTCGATGTGAACGCAGGGAGCAAGCTTTTCCGAAAGTAAAACTTTTTCGCTCTATCGTTGTTTAAATATGTTCATTTGGAACTTAATAGTGAATATGCAATACATTCCATATACAATTTCATTCAATTTTCGGTTACATAGAATTTGAAAATATTTTTCCCATTGACTTGAATCAACTTCTGTCAAAGACACTTCGCATGGATACTGGAATGGCAGAATAATGATTTTTTGGACGATAGAAAAGATAGCGGTAGTGTGCTTATGCCATTGTGCGCTTCTTCTTTGTTTTTTTCCTTCTCTTCTCGTTTGTACTTTGAATTGCCAACTTCAATTTCTACCTATATCGAAATGTTATCGTAATTTCAACTATTTCCGAAATACACATTATTTTTATGTTGTGGCTCTTCTTTTCTTCCGCATAAGTTTTATTTTGCTTTGTATCTCATTTTTTTTATCTCCGCTCTCGCATCGTTTCCAATAAAAACTCTTCGCATGAAGAAAGTTTTGATTTTAGTTGTTGAATTGGTTAAAAGCAAACGAAAGCGAACAAACGTATGTATCTCTTTTTGTCTTGTTCACTCTGTCTCCGTTCAATTGTGCCAAAAATTGTTACTTTGAATTGTATGAGACTGCTATGCTTGAAATGAAAGTAAACTCCAATATTTTTCTTCTTTTCGTATGTATATGGATGTTTGGATTGAACGATATATTTAACGCATTCGAATTTTTGCCACGGCATGATTTTGTTGATTCTTTGTTCGTCTTAGAGTTCGTGTTTATTGGAACATGTGAGGAAAAAAGGAGAGAGAACACCATTAACAGAACTTTTGTTTAGTTTGTTGAAGATAGAATTACATCGTTTTGTTTTTTGCTCTGTCTCCTTCGTTCACTATCTCGATCTATGTATTATAGTCTATTGATGTTCGCAAAATTGTAAAGCCTTGTTGTTGTGGTACAAAATGCAAACGTAAAAATAGCAACAATACAATTTCATCTAAATCATTTCAATGGAACAGCCAAAACGATGAGAGAAATCTCGCGTATCAAGTGAATAGTCGTTGCTCTTACTCTGGCACTAACAGGCAAATGAACCGCATACCGGAATGGATTTTCACGAATGCTACTCATACTGCCTTACTTCTCTCCAAAATACTCTTTGTCGCCACAACCACACCTCCCCTCCTACTGCCCTGATATCCGGGGATTGAAATCAGCTATGGTGAGATTTCAAATCCATCGATACAATGTGTAATGCGTATGTAAATGGTGGTATGTGGCATGCATATGGTTCGGCAATGAATATACTTTGGATTTTGCACCAATTGAAAATCAAAACGATCAAAAATTCAAAGTGTAATAATAGATGCATTTCGTTTGCAATTTTCGGCACAGTATTTTCATTTTAAATGTGAAATATTCGTGTGAATGCGAGAGATTTTCGAATACAAAATAACGTATAACGCACCACAAGCAAAACTCTGTATAGTACAACAAATTCATTTCCAGTAAAATAGTTGAGAAGAGAAAATTTAATCTTGTAGCGCAAAAGAATAGTTCGTCTTCAACATTGCCTCTTTTTCCATAACCCAAGCGCATTCAGTTCGTCGTCTATTTTCGTTTTTTTCCCTCATTTTTAACATGCATTCGAAAAGCATATTCATTCCATTTACTCTCTGGTTGTATATGTCTCTTGCCATCTCACAAGATCAGAACATTTTTCGCATTTGAACGAAACGTGTAAATGCTTTGGAATGTGTGTATAGGATACGTGTGTATGCATCTTTTTCGGCAATGCATTGACGTTTTCCATTTGCGATCAAATTTATGCATCCGACCACTTTTTCCAATGTGTGTGTGTTTATTCTCATATTTCACAAAATCTTCGCCAATATTTAGTTAAAAGTTCCGAGAAATGATCCAATAAGCATCTTTGAAAAAATTCCAATAAAAATGGTGATTGTTCGCTAATTTTTAATTTTCTTCTCGATTGCACAAAGGAAAACATCCAATTCTATTCGCATTGATACGAAAGTTTCTTAATAATAATTCTGTAATTAAATGAAGTATAAAATAAATGTGAAGAAGTTAGCATATTCATCGTGTTTTCAGGCATACCATCATTATTTTTGACCGAAAGCTCTCGCGCGTTTATTTCAAATTGAATGCACACATAGCCACCATGATCACAACGGCCACCACAAGCATTGCCACTGTCGCCAACGCTATTGATATTGCATTCAGTATAAAGTGTTTTGTGCGAAGCGCAATGGAGGAAAACGAAAAATCATCAGTTTTCTATCAATGTTTGAGTCAAATGTGTGTGTATGTCACCAATATGAATGAGCATACGCATATACGGATCATGGTCGTCGACACACCACATCAAATCTCGTTTTCTTTTTGACTGGAAACATGCACAACACTCAATTCATATCGCATACGCATCCCCCTTAGTTTTGATGCTACACACAGAGCCAAAGATACACAACGAGCGAGCGTGTGTGAGAGAGAACGAGAAAGAGAAAGAGAGAGAGAGAGAGAAAATCAAGCATACAAAATGTGTACATAAATACGGAGTGAAAGCGTGTGCCAAAATGAAAATACCCATCCGGATGGTGTTTGAATGCGCTTCTCTTCAATTGCCGCTCGTTTAGTCACAGTTTGTTGTTTCATGAGTTGAGACGCGTCTTTCGTGCGCTGCTCCAAATTCAAACATTTTTCGGGGCGTGCGAACTGTTTTCTATCCTTCAATGTGTTTCAGATTCGTTGAACACTGAAAGTGTGAACACCGCAAAATTAACTTACTTTTTACAAAACATATTTCGTTTGAAAATTAAAAGAAAAACGGAACAAACAAACAAACAATCAAAGAAACAAAAAAATCATCGAGTATTTTCCTCTCGTCAGCATCGTTGAAAGAAGAACAACTTTATTTTTGTGTATTACAAAATGTGAAAACATGAGAAGTTTGTGTAAATTTTGTTGTGTACTTAAAACACTCTATTTCGATTCATGAGATTACGTTACATTGATTACTGCCATTGCAAAATTTGCCACAGAAACACGCACATACGCTTCCGTTGTAGGTTGTGTTTTTGATTCGATGCCTTATTCATATTGTTCGGTAAAATCAAATAAAATTCCATTGAGGATGAGCATAATACAAATGCAATGCAATTGAACGTTGAAAATATCAAATCACATTAAATGATATCGAGAACCATTTTCGTTTTGGATGGTTCAAACAACAAAACGCATACACATAAAATATATACCATACGGTCTTAAGTGAAAATGTGTTGTCTGTCTCTTGCTCAAAAGTGTGTGTTATACCAAAATTCAATGATAAAGCGAAATTCAAATAGGAAAAGTGCTTAAATTATTATTTGTGTATTCGATTATTCGAATGCGGTGAGGATTGAGTTCTTGGAATGTTGCCTCTTTTCGATTTTGATTTCGATTCCGATTTTCATAAACATATAATGCATTCTGATAGAAATTTCAATAAATAATAGAGGTGAATGAGGGAATGTACTGTTGTTGGCGTTGCCTGCTGAAATGGGAATTTCAAGAAAATGAAAAATAAAAAAAAACCAACAAGAAACATCAACCACTGAACCAAGAAGAAATTCGATTGAATTCATATGCCAAACACAAAAAATCGACTGCTACTGTAACTGTGTACTACGACAATGTTAAGGCGCGCATATTCAAAAATGGATCAAAATTCGTTGCATGCACATACGCTCATTGTTACAATATTAAATTCCACTTTCCCAACAGTTTGTTTTTCATTCGTCCGGTTCGTCGGTGTGTTCATATGCTAAAGCATCTGAATAAGAAAGGAAATTGCTTGAAAAGCCAAATTCCACAACGCAAAGAAAAACCCAAAAACCAAGTCAGAAAGAACATCGAGAAAATCAAGAAAAATTAATGCACAAAGAAAGAAGAAAATGTGAAATATTTGTTAAAAAATTAAAAAGTTTGTGTTGAGCATACTGAACAAATACAAAATAGAGAAAGAGAGCGAAGAAAAAAGAGAGAAAAAAAGACGGAGCTGAAGAGAAAAAGACCAAATAGAAAATAACATTGAAAACGAATTAGAGCGAGTCTGGGCTGAAAAAAAGAGAAAAAAATTCCCTCCACAACAACAAAAACAACAACAACAACGACGGCGATAACGACAATCTTACTCTCTTTATCTTCCTCGCTATACTTTTCAGCTTGAATTGTGAACGCAAAAACTGATCGCATCAATTGTTAAAAACTTTTCGCGCATCTAGCACGAACACGCAAAACGAGAAATTTTCGATAAGTTCCAGAAAACGACCAGCAAAAACAAAAAAAGCATAAGGAATTACGGAATCACGAAACATTTCCCAAAAAAATGTAATGTAATGTAACAAGTATGAGTGTTTTCTGTTTTCTCAATATCCGTTCCATTTTTTCACCCTATAATTTTTTGTTTTTCGTTTAAATTTTTTTAATATTTCATTGTTAACCGACACATAAACAACTCTTTAGCTTGTTTTCTCGTTAAAAACGCATAGCAAATATTATAACATATAATAAAACGCAACCACCTATAATAATAATCGACCAAGAGCACATTGCATCACGCACAAAGAATTAAAAACAAAACAACAACAAAAACAGCCAAAACAAAACTTTTAATACACACACATACACAATAAATAACACAACAAAATGTAATCGAATCCTGCCGAAAATGTCAGGTGATGCCTCAACACCATGAATGGATAAACATTGAACATTGGTTCCAAAACAAAAATGCCGTAAAAACAGCGTGCATAAACAACCGATAACGTGACTGACAATATATACATCTACACGTTATTCAGCTTTATTGAGCGGCTGACTACGGTGGCAAAAAAAGTGCACACCTCCGTTTATCGTTCATTTATTCCTCTCTCATGCACCTCACTAAGAACTTGATTCCATATATTGAGTTAAACTTTTGCAAAGCGTTCCTGGGAATTCTAATTAAATCAGTCTCATTTAATCAATATAAATAACAATATATGCATTTAATGTTACTATAACTTTCACTCAAATTTCTCATTCTCTTCCTCGTTGTTTGCCCATTCCAGTGGTCAACGAAAAAGCACCACACACACACATACATACATACATAAAACAGCTATCAGTGATAATCAGCTATCAGCGATATGCAGCGCTCCCAAATACAACATTTACACTAAGTCACATTTTCGCTTTCGGTCGATTGACAATACATTTCAATTTTCCGTGCCGATTCTATTCGGTCGGGACATATCCCGAATTGGTAACCGGTGATATAGAGACATGTAATGCGGGCCCATAGCTGTCCACGAACGTTCGTTCGTTTGTTCGTAGAAAATGAAATGTTCGGATTGTTCGTAATTTATGAACATTTATTTTCTCAAAATAAACAAATATTGCGATACTAAATGTAAATTGGAAAAACCTTAAATCCCCGCTTTTCCGCTTTTCCGATGGGAAATCGTGAAAATAAGCAAAATATTGACTCCCGTAAGAAAAAAAATTCACTTTTTTTGTGTCTTCGAATGTCTCATATAAGGTTGCCATGTAACTGCAGAAAGACAGTCGAAAATATTGAAAAAAAAAATTCCGTTTTTTCGACCGTCTTTGTGATGCTACATGGCTAGCTTATATGAAACTCTCGGAGACTGGATATAATGTACAAAAAAAGTGAAATTTTTTTTCTCGATATTTTTGTGCACTATACCGAGTCTCCGAGTTTTATATATGGTTGCCATGTAGCAGCAGAAAGACAGTCAAAAAGACGAATAAAATGTTTTCTTAATTTTTTGTGCATTTTACCAAGTCTCCGAGAGTTTCATATAAGCTTGCCACGTACGAACAACGAACAAACAATCCGAACATTTCATTTTCTACGAACGAACGAACGAACGCAATACAATTCTACGAACGAACGAACGAACAAAAAGACCAAAAAAATATTCTACGAACGAACCAACGGTTCGTTCGTTAGTGTTCATGGACAGCTATGTGTGGGCTGCACAAATAACACAAAATTCACAACGATAGTTTCAATTTCTGTATCAATATTGTGCACAAATAATGACGTGCTGGTTTTGTGGCTACGTAATAAGGAATTTTAATACCGGACCGTGACAAAAATTGGTTGGCTTTTGTTGTTCGCATCGAGAAAAAAAGCGAATAATAGAGATCGATAGAAAGAGAGAGAGGGAGAGAGAGAGGAAGTGAGAGAAAAAAGACGGTGTCGAACGAAAAATAACAACTGACCGTGTCGATGACGAGAAAAATTGGCAATACAAAAAAATCCAATAACAACAAAAATTGGGTGCAAAAAGTAAACACAATCAAAATGTTTTAGCAAACAGGAAATCATCGGTCATTTTATTGGAAAATCGCCATTTGGTATTGGAGGTTTGTCAACTCTTATATGCCGCGCTATGAAATTCCATTGAACAAACTCTTTTTGTCGCAGCAACCAACGAGAGAGAGAGAGAGAGAGAGAGAGAGAGAGAGAGAGAGAGAGA